CCCCCCCCCCCCCCCCCCCCCCCCCCCCCCCCCCCCACTACGGCTGGATTCTCGGGTAACACCAACAGCTGGTCCCCCTTGAAGGCCATGACCTCAGCCCACAGGTGCACTGTACAGTATATAGGGCTGATATTGGTCCTTTGATTACTTACCGATTGTTCATTTAATGCTTCTGACAAAATGACGGTTTTCTTCAAATTCCAAAAGTGGGACATAACTATACATTTACAAGTACTATACTTCAGTACAATTTTGAGGCACAGGTAATATTCCTGAATGTTTTTGTTTTGTTCTACTTCTCTCCCATTACATTTGTATTTACATTTCCAGGGTAATATACTTTTAACTATATTACATTTCATCTGACGGCTGATTAACACATTTGTTATTAAATATCACTGTTGGGTATACATCTTGTATCTCAGCTCGGTCCCAGCATGTTCTTGCCTTGTCTAAGGATCTATTAACTTATTATAATGAAGTTATTAGTTCATGCTAACACTTGTTTACTTTTACTTAGGAAAAATGAAATGGTGAGTACCAGAGGTATATTTGTTTTCACAGCCAGTACATATACAGCTACAGATATACACATAGCAAGATGTAGTTTTAAGAGATGTACTGTTAATGTGGTATTATTTAATGTTATAAACATGTCATAAACATGTCATAATATAGTATGTACTGAAGTCATAGTATGTCATAAACATGTTATAATATAGTGTGCAATAAAAAACATCAGAAAACATGGCATAGTATATTATGACATGAAAATGGCATTAAAGAAAAGTCATCCTATAGTATGTCATAAATGAGTCATAGTATGGTTGACTTAAACTGTCAAAAAACGTATAGTATATTATTATTATAGTTTGCCATTTTAGAAGGTAAGAACGAGAACTAATGACTGATGATACACTGAATATCTGCCTCATACAGTAGCATGGGATGTCCAACCCTAACACACACACACTCCATTCTTCTAGCTGTCAGGTGAAAACCTGAAATATTTATGTGGTTGAATGCTGGGGGGATTGTGTGTGTGTGTGTGTGTGTGTGTGTGTGTCTGTGTGTGTGTGAAGCACACGCTGTTTGTAAATGTGTGTGAGATTAATTTGAGGCGAATGTGAGAGAGAATCCTCTGGATTGGAGACCCTGCTAATAACGTTGGAGTGGCAGCTCGCTAATAACAAGCAGCACGATATATGAATACACTTCAGACCGTTACGTAACTATACTAACTGTGCGTCTCGGTCGTCTCCATCTCTCTGTCTGTTTCATCAGTGCCATCGTGAAAATCATCAGCTACCTTTTCATTTATTCTAGGAAGTAGCATCTGTGCAAACATGAAGCTATACTCGTTATTGACACAGCTCCCCAGTAATTAAGCACAGACGGCAGTCTTTATGTTCTTTGTTAGACTGCACAACAACTTCATCTGCTGAAGAAAGCCAAAATAGCTTCTGAATGAGAGGAGGTATTTTAGGAGGAGAGGTTTTATGGGTTTTAAGATGCACTGTGAATCGCTTTTCTCTTTTCATCCCTCATTCGCTTCCTCTCCCGCAAGTCCTGGGTTTCTATTATTGTCTCTCAACCTCCTCATCTCCCCCCCCCCCCCTTGTCTCCTATCTTGCTCTCTCCTCAAACTCCTACAGTTTCAGTTTTCTGCTCCCTCTCCTTCACTTCCACCCACCCCATGCCTGGCTGTTGCCTAGCAACACCTCATTTGCAGACAGACGTTTTCAGTGATCTGGAGAAGTCCTTGTGACCCCCCCCACACACACAGTGCCATTAGATTCATGGGAACATGTTGGTGTCCATCACCGTCACTCGCTTGTTTGTCCACATAGTCCCATGTTTTAGAAATGCTCCTTTAAAACAACTCCTCCCTCCAATAAACGGCTGGTAGGTTGATGGGACATTGTAAATGTGTTGCTCTGTGGATTGTTTAAAGCTCCATCACTAAGGCAAGATAAATAAAGAAACCATGGACATACGTTTAAATAAATGGAGGGAGTTTGTTCAGTAATACTTTATTTCTGACCCTTCATTTCCATCTTTACTTTGAAAACAGTGCAATCACTGAGTTGCTATGCAAATACTCATATTGTATGAAAGACTGAGACTAGTCATGTTTATGTTCTTGTCTCGTGTTTGTTGATCTTCCGCTCATTTAGATTTAGGAATGTAAAGACTGACCAACTCCCCCCCCCCCAAAATATGTTGTAAGTGAGCTTCAGTGTCTGTGCTTCCACTTCCACTCTCAAAGACTTTGCATGCAATAAGTAGCACAGATGAGTCATTACAGCAGCACTTCCCCCACAGAATCTGCCCTCACAGAGAAAACGCAAGAAGACCCAGTACGAGATGTTACTTCATGATATTTTATTGGAAAAACAAAATGTAAAGACTAGCATGTACAACTTGGAATGCAGATCAACTGAACTGAACAGAACAGTTGGACTGGGCCGGGCCTCGCCGCACCCACACACAAACTCACACACAGACACAAGATAGAAATGCTGCAAAGCACCGACCCTGTCCCCACTAAACTGAAATTAACACCCCGTAGAATCACGATTCAAGTGCAACCTTTGAGGCAATATACTGTCCCTAAGCATGCTTCAGTGATAACCACATTGCCCCAAAGTTGATCTTGTATATCATCACCTTTAAAAGCCCACCCAACCCCCCCCCCCAAAAACATCCCACGGTCTCAAATCTTTGCCCCACCCAAGCTTCCCCCTCAAAAAAGGTAAACACACAAAGGATAAAGCGAGTATCCCGTCATGCCAGAAACACAGAATCTAAAATGAGTTGTTCCGTTTTAAAATTGTTCTTAAAAATATCTGTTGTCACCGACTTCATTTAGGTGAGCAAACTGCAAAAGGTTCTGCTGGTTTACTCACTCCCATCCATCTGTCAAATAACCCCTCCCTCCTCTCTGTGGGTCCCAGGCCAACCTAAGGCCAACAGCCTTCTGCCATCGGGCTCTCAACAGTAACCCATCTAAAGCTGCATGCATGAAGAACAGAAGAAAGAAAACAGGAAGTCATAGAAGAAAGGCCATTGGCCATCCCATATAATCATCATGAAATCAGGCAGATGGAACCAGGAAGCAGAGGTGCACCAGCCAGCTGCAGAGAGGCTGCTTGGCTAAAAGGTTGAGATCTGATTGGGTAGCTCAGCGCTGGGGGCGGGAATACAAGCCAGTACATGCAGAGAGATTCATTTAGAATTTTTCTTTGTCTTTTTTTTTTCCACCTTTTTTGAGCTTGTGAATATGAACAGATTATCAGTTTTCCAACATTCAGTCTATACAGAACAGTATGAACAAATGTAGATTTTTGCAATAAGAGGTAAGTGAAACATTTGACTGATTCTTTGTCTTCAATGTGAGCCCAGTTCATTTGGCAGTCATCATCTGAACAAATTCTGTGGGAAAAACAGCAATAAAAGTGATCAGGAACAGTGTTTCAATTGTTACTTAAAACACAGTGAATATATTATGATTGATCAGTCTAAGGACTTATGTCTATCAGCAGTGTGCCAAATATAGGGGGTCTCTCGGGGGAGGGTTCAAGATCCCTTGATTGACACTTGAAAACCCAAACAACGGTTTTGGAAAAATCTTTAAAAATGTCTTGTAAGTTTACAAAGTATTTTAAAAGATATGTCTAACTATATCCATTATTCAAACTGTAAAACATTTATTTACAAATAAGAATACAGAACAATATTGTATTGTTTCCTCGTATCTCGCAATCTAAAACCTTGTAGTTTCTGGTAAGGACTACATCCATGGGTGGTGCTGTGGCAAATGGTCGGCAAAGCAAATTTTGAGTTTAGAAAAGTTAACCCACCCCCCCGATTAACAGCAGGTATTTCGCACACTGTCATCTTACATACAGTAATTTAGCCTTGTTCCATAAATGTACTTATACTATACTTATATTTGTATTAGTGTACCTTCATAGTTGACCTGTCCGTCTCCATCGATGTCTGCTTCTCTGATCATCTCGTCTACTTCCTCGTCTGTCAGCTTCTCTCCCAGGTTGGTCATCACGTGACGCAGCTCTGCTGCGCTAATGTAACCATTGCCATCCTGCCCAACACACATACAGCATTACAGGCGGCTCTCAGTGAAAATTTTAAATATATATTCCAATAGTAAAAAACTAAATGATATTTTAATACGAAAATTTAAGATTTGACTGTGGCATAATAATAAGCAGGACTACGCGGCTGTCTACCTCGCGCGCATTGAATGCACCACACTGTCACCCTGCATTACAGTCAATCAATGGAGACAGTCAAGTATCACTGTCAGAGAAAGTAGTCCCTCCTTAGTTGTCAGCCTTAGCGTAAGGACATTCTGATCTCAGATGAATGAGTTTTGTATATCAACGCTAAACTGCTGATGAGAAAAATGTGATATACATTTAAGAATCAATTATTGTTCTGGTAACACAGAACATACACATCTAGGCTTACCTTATCAAAGACCCTGAACGCCTCCCGGATCTCCTCCTCACTGTCAGTGTCCTTCATCTTCCTCGCCATCATCGTCAGGAACTCAGGGAAGTCAATGGTCCCGTTGCCTGGAGGGTGAGAGAAAGCAAGTCATAGTTACCACCAGTCAATATAGTTAAATACATTTCATAAAGACCAGTCTAACTAAATGGTTCCCCATGTTGAGGAGGAATCATCATACCATCTGCATCCACCTCGTTGATCATGTCCTGG